CAGATCCAGTCTGTATCCAGATCAGATGGTCACTGCAGTCACCCGGATCCAGTACATATCCAGACCAGATGGTGGATCAGCACCTAGAGAGGACCTCTACAGCCCTGAATGTCCTGAATGTGGACAACTAGATGAGCCCCAGAGACAGATCCCCAGTGAGGACCTTGTCTCCTAGACGGCCACCAAGACAAGATCACAGGAAGACAAGACACAGGTTGAGTCCTCTGCACAATCTGACCTGTGTTGCAGCCTGGAATTAAACCACATCATGCTGGTTTGGTCTGGCCAGAGGAGAACTGGCCCCCGACTGAGCCTGGTTTCTCCAAAGGTTTTTCTCCATTTCTGTCACCGATGGAGTTTTGGTTCCTTTGGCTTGCTTAGTTGGGGACACTTGACTGATTGCACAGACACTACTGGAAGAGAGCTGAACTGGATCATGACATCACTGAATCATCAATGAGCTGACTTTAGCTGGAAAAATGACTGCTATTGTCTTCTTGTATTATTGACAAATTATTTTCCTGTTTGACTCTGTTAAGCTGCTTTGACACAACCAGTATTTTATAAAGCGCTATACAAATAAAGGTGACTTGACTTGACTGGTATGTACACGTTAGATAATAATATATAATATGTAACTTTAAGGTACTAATGTGTACCATTTAAGGCCAATTCACACTGCACAGACACAAACAGTAACAGGCATGTTTGTTAGATTTTGTCTGATCGGTATACACCTGTCGGTATCTGCTGACATTAGTCGGCGCTTGTTTTTGCCTTTTGAACATGTTGAATTGGTGTTTGTCGGGTCTTGGAATGTCTGAGAAGTGGCATACTGTACTCTCTGTGTTGGCCTGTGTCTTTCGGTGCGGTGTGAATTGGCTTTTAGGGGTAAATAAGGTACAAATATGTAAGATTTGTCATAGTTCTTGCCTGTTCTCCCTATTGTCCTGGTCTCAGCTGTTAGTTCTCCTCTCTTCGTCTTCACTAAAACTTGATACGTTTTTCCAGGTGTCAAGCCGCTAAAAACCCAATGAGTTGTATTTGGAGGTAGGGTAAGGTCCCGTTCTGAAGAGATGGAGGGTGACAGAGAGAGCTCGTAGGAATCCACGTATCCGACAGCAGGAATCCAGGCAGCTTTAAGAGAGTCCTGACTGCCGTTGCTCTGGAGAGTCAATGATGTGACGGGAGCAGGAGCTGCAGGAATGACAAACGTGTCATTAAATATACTCAACTTTTTACATTAGATTCATTTTGTGTTTAGAAGTTCATTACATTTAGTGACATAAAGGAATAAAAATTCAAATTTTACAACGAAGATACAGGTTTGGAACGACATGAACACTGTAAAAAGTAATAATTGAATCTACTTAAGAAACGCGAGTAAACATAACTGATTTTTACAAATTTGTTTTATTAACTCAAAAATTATAAACTAATTTGCTTGAGAAATTTGAGGCAATCAGTTTCCACAGGTTTTCCAAGTAAGCTCAACTCATTACTTTTTACAGTGAAGGTGAATAAATAATGACAGAATGAACCCAGTTGCCAGTGGTGATATATTCACCATCATCTCACAATCTCAACATTAGTGTTTTCTGAAAACACTCAACTGAAGAGTGAGTATGTGATGATGCATAAGTGTGTGTGCATCATGGGTAACTGGCAGTAAAAGACAGGATATGTGGGCGGGTAGTCTGGTAAAGCAGGAAGGGAGGAGGCGAGCTGAAAATATCCTGGAAATAACGATAAAAAAGCTGTTGGTCTTTTGTTAGGAGTAAAACCTGCTCTTGGTTAGAGGTGTTTCTGTGTCCTGTGGAACATGATGACTTTACCAGTGTAAAATGAGCTCACATTAACTCAGAGATGATTAAACTCATACTGTCACACTCTGCTTTAAAGCAGGACTTATCAAACTGTTTGGTGAAAGAACATTAAAAAAATTAGTTGCTTACTTATACAATGTTCATTTAGATAACAAAATGGGACTGATTGCCATTCCCAGACACATTTTTCTGTCAGAGAGAGAGATTCTCCACTGATGGTTTAACCTAGACATACAAACCACAGCAACAACGCTCTCCATGTTAATACCACACGACCCTGAACCACTCACCAACCCAGCAACAATATTACATATAACACAGTAAACATTAAAGAAACGATTATCTTGATTTCATGCTGTAGTCATTGTTGGGAACTGCAGTTATTGTATGGTTCAGCTATATTTTACAGTCTGTAAAATGAGCAAATAAAAGGAAAAGGATATAGGAAAGGGAGGCTCAGAACTCAGCGCCACCCAATTTCACCAAGGTCCTGCCCCACTTATGAACCTGTACCCTGAGCCTTTGCCCCTGTCTGAAAAACCTGGTAATGCTTCAGATTACAGACCACAATTTACAGCGTAATACTGCATCGCCATGTCGTAATTACTGTGATTTCGAGACAACACGTAACATTCTACTTGGAGCTGATCACACCCTTGGACTTGAAACTATCGCACTATCAATGCCTAAACATAGCGCCTAATGAATCTGAGGTGGTCAGGTGGTAGTGGTACAAGTCGTAGCTCTGAAAATTCCCAGTTCACAAGTTGTAATTATGAGTTCTACAAGGACGTGAACACTTTTTACAAGTTGGTATCTCGTAATCATGGTAATTACGATATGGCTTGAAGTCATCACTCACAATAAAAATCAATGAGTTTCAAGATGCAACAACATTGCGCAGCATCTGGTTGTAAAAACCGCCTAAATTTAAATTCCTGAAGAAACTGGATAAACTTTCACAGGTAAGAATGTGTTGGTTTGTGTTTTTAATATCTATTAACTCAGTATTACAGGTTTTTAAACTAAAGTACCTTTCAAATGCCTTGTTTGCGAACGACTTCATCTTGTTGTATTGTGTTAGTTTAGCAAAAGCATGTTCTGAAGTCTACTGAAGATTATATATTATTCATACATGCGTATAACTACAGTTGCAGTGCAGATTCACCGGCATTGCTCTCCGATATTCACAGACCGGCGTTGACATTCCAATATGGCGGACGGCTTACGTATAGCGGTCCATAGAAACAGTTGGTAAGGAGGAATCTACCTATACATATCTATGAGTCATGCTGCATTCACGCAATGTTGTAATTACGCAATGTGATTTCGAGACAACACATGACGTTCTACTTGGAGCTGTTCACACCCTTGGACTCAGAACTATAACACTATCAATAAACATAGTGCCTAATGAATCTGAGGTGGTCAGGTGGTA